CCTTAGCTTAAATATAAGACAGAGTTCAGATGGTATGTTCATCATTCAAGAAGCCTTCACTAAGACTTTATTGGCGAAATTTGGAATGGTGGGTGATTCTAAAGTCAAAGTTCCAATGGCATTTGGAACGAAACTCACTCGTTCTCTTGATAAAGCAACTGTTGATATCACTTTATATCGATAAATGATTGGGTCTCTGTTGTATTTAACTTCCATTCGTCCTGACATTATGTTTGTTGTGTGTTACTGTGCTCGATTTCAAGCCAATCCTCGAGAACCTCATATGTTGGCAGTTAAGAATATCTTTCGGTATATGAAGCGGACTACTTCTCTTGGTCTATGGTATCCATCGGATTCTGGATTCTTTGTGCAAGCATATTCCGATGCTGACCTAGGTGGATGTGGACTTGATCGGAAAAGTACTTCTGGGGGATGTGAGTTTCTGGATGGAAAGCTTGTTAGTTGGCAATCTAAGAAGCAGACATGTGTATCCTTATCGAATGTTGAAGCTGAATACATTGCAACAGTATCTTGTACATCCCAAGAAGTGTGGATTCAGAATCAGCTTAGAGATTATGGAATTAACATGAAGAGAATACCTCTGTATTGTGATTCCGAAAGTGCTATAAGAATTTGCTACAATCCATTGCAACACTCCAAGACAAAGCATATAGCACTTAGATATCACTTCATAAAGGATCATGTCGAGGATGGGAACATCGAAGTTCATTTTGTGAGATCCTCAGATCAGCTGGTTGATATATTCACAAAGGCCCTACCTGGAACATCATTCAATCGTATTTTACAAGGGTTAGGAATGATTGAAGTTGACTTAGTTCCAAAACCATCTTCTTAATTGCCAAGGTTACTATTCATGTTCTTAATGGTTCCGAGCTTCGGAATGTTTCGGAATTCACTGTTCACATTCCGAATGGTTCTAAGCTTCGAAATGTTTCAGAACTCACTGTTCACATTCTAATTGGTTCCGAGCTTCGGAATGCTTCGGATGCTACTGTGCATCCTCGTTTCGGAACGTTGTATATCCTTTGTAAATTAAATCTCTTCCGACTGATTCCAAGCTTCGGAATGATTCGGAAGTCACTGCTAATTTATGTTTCTGTTTTTCATTTTTTTTTCAGAACATCAAAAATATCAAAAATATTTTTCTTTTATTTCTGTTTTTCAATTTTTTCAGAACATAAAAATATCAAAAATATTTTTCTTTTATTTCTGTTTTTCATTTTTTTTAGAACATCAAAAATATCAAAAATATTTTTCCTTTTCTACTTTTTATTTTATTTAGAAAATTTTAAAAATTCAAAAATATATTATCTGTTTCTGTATTTTCTTTTGAAAAATCAAAAACGCCAAAAACAAAACATATTATGTTCAAGGAATTGACATTCTTTTCTCAGGTTAATTTTCTCCATTATTTTAATTTAGAACGAAGGGGCAGGTATGATTCTGAAACTATATACTAGCTAATTGTCCCAAGCCTCTTAGACTCTATGTTCGAAGTCTTAATGAAACTTTCATTTTGATCATTTCTTCCCAATCAGGATATTAAATCACATAAGTCATCGAGCTACCTTACTCTTCTCACGTTGAGTTAAGAGTTTACTGCTTAGTCATACAAATATAGCAGAGGTACATTATCTTCTTCAGAACCAATCTATATATTCTCCATCATTTTCATGATTCATAAACATAACCCTTGAGACTTTCATAAATTACCACTGAGGTTTATGGTTACACAACATCTGTGTTTATGATCTTGAAATTGTTATCACCACGATTTCGAGTGAAACCTAAAATCCGATTCCCTTTTCTGAATTGACGGTGAACATCCTTTTGTTCTAGAAAATTTAACCAAGGCATTGACGAATAAAACCTTATTGGTTAGTACCGTTACAAATTTGAAATATCAATTTATCTTTTTGCAGGATTTTAATGAAATGTTCTCGACTCAAGTCATTTCTTCCCAAAGGATCCAAATCTTTATATTCTTTTTTAAGATTTTCATTATATCTAGTCACTTTAAAAAAATCCAAAGCGTATTTGTTCTTATGGCTAAACCGGTCAAACAAGTACTTCATTCAGATCTTCGGACTTATGTTGAGTTTCGAAATCTGGTTGAAGCTTAAGCCACCCTTAAAGCCTACTAAAAGAAGCCTTTCATTGTTTCTTAATAAACTGATGATCATAATTCAAAGGGAAACCACACAAGCACCGCGGAGTCTTTCTTGACTTAGAAGGAAGAGATCGTTGTCCGGGATCCATCAGATTTTCATGTCAATCCTGTTTGACATCATAAAATCCCTTAAATTAGATTTGCTTTATTTCTTTATCTTTGGCACACTCTTTCACAAAAATCCTTGTGATTTTCCAAATTCTGGCTCTAATTCTGATTCATTACTTTAATTATGAGAATAGGTCATGGTTTCAAAGCTGATGGTTTGTTTAATGATTCCAAATGTGTCAATTCCGAAACGGTGGTAATTCAAGAGATGTAAATTCAAATCACGCGCGACTTTTGAATTCCCTGACACACGCGTGTCTGTTACAACGACGTCTGACACCTATGGATGAGATGTCACGATTTTACAGGCTACTTTTATGGCGTATAGGAATTTGAAATGGCAGTTTCTCTCTCCACTCATCACATACCGTATAAAAGGGTTTTGAATGGTTCACTTTCTCTCACCGCAAACACAATTCTCAAAACCCTCAAAGCGAAAACCGTTCTCTCTCTACTGTTCATCATCTTCTTCAACGCAACAATGGTAGGTTCATCTGAGAACATCTCCTTTGCTGACCAGTCCGCCTCTGTCATCATGGTTACCGTGAAGCCCAACCAGAATCTGGTTCTTGATTTTGATTCATCGCGCTACACTGAAGTGATCAAGCCAATGATCGAACGCCTTAAGTTCTCGCCATTGGCTCAGGCGTTAACAATGGCAGAAACTATTCCCCTGGTTCATCTCTCAAAAGCATACTCATCTTCTTTCTACAGCAAAGCATATGATGTCATCCACTTCGAGGTAGCCTCTCACAAGACCTCAATCACAAATCCCCATTTCAGCAAACTTCTAGCGCTTGCTTTACCTGAAGTTCATGTGGATCCTGAGTCAATTTCGACCACTGCTTTAATTGAGATGTTATATCAAATGGGCTACATTGGTGACATCTCCCTGCTGTCCAAGTTCAGGAAACCCTTTTTTCCTCCAATGTGGAATGGGTTGTTCACCTTTTTGTTCAAGAGTTTCTCTGAGAGGGTTGTTGGTTCAGACAGCGCAAGTAATTTTATTCTTCACTCTCATTTATGGGGTATACCATGGTGTCAATCTTGACTATGGTTCTATTGTGTGGACTCAACTCATTCAAAGCACTATTTCCACCACTCGACACACTGAGATATCATGTGCCAGATTCTGGTCTATCGTGTTCAACCATGCCCTAAGCCACTTCATTAATGGCTGAAATTCTGACACACCAAATGTCTACCTTTGTGATGTCGGATGCCAGAAAATTTGATTTTGTTGGTAAAATATCGGATGCAATGTTGGTTAAGGTTCCTCTGGACAATGCAATTGTGAGGGAGTATCGGAATTTGGCTTCTTCAGGCGTTCATCCGATGCCAACTGATCTTCAACAGTTGATTGATGAGATCACAAAACCGAAGAGGGGAGGTAAGAGAAAAGCCAAGGCTGCTCCGTCAGAAATTGTCAAAGCTCCCAAGAAGACAAGAAAGCCTGCTAAGAAACCAAGATCTCCATATCCTGTTCTTCAAGAAGATTCAGATGAGAGGACTTTAACAGAGCCTCAAGATGTTGACCCACTTCGGAATGACGAGGAAGACACTGCTGCCACTTCAGATCCCCCTCCTAAAGAACCAATTCCGAAGGTATATTCTCTACAGCCTTCATTTATTCCCACTTTTGATATCTATCATACTATTATCCAAGAACCAATTCTGAACCTCACTACTACTCCACCACCACCACCACCTGTTACTCCACCTACCTCACCAATTACCTCCATAATTCTGATTTCCTCCATCCCTCCTTTACCACCAAAGAGCTCTATTCGAATATCTCTTCCTCAGATCTCCATCCCTCTATCCTCACTTATCTTTACCAATTCCACCACTCCTACCTCAACATTAGTCTCAACTCCACCGAAAATCCCTGTATCCGAGTTAGTTTCGGAGGAGGTACATACTTCAGGCATTCATGTCAACGCATCTGATGCGGGGGCAAATGTCACCAACAGTGTGACTTCCGAATAGGGCCAGTCAACTAATCCTCCTTTTAATGATACTGACGACATCATGTTCGGAGATGATCCGAGACCTTTACTGATTTTGTCTCTAGCGCTTTACCATCAACCTCAACAGTGATGGCGATGATGCTCCAATGACCAAAAGGCGGTTCAAATAGCTGAACGAAAAGATGGATTCAGTTTTGGAGTCTTCCAATCAGTCCTCTTCCTCTAAATGGGACTACATGTTGACATCTCATAATGCTAATGTGTAGATGCTCACGTCGGCAAATGCAAAAGTCCTTGAAGAAGCTACCAAATTCATCCAAGCTTCAGAAAAGAAGATTTCTGAATCGACCGCAACAGTTGAAAAACTACATCAAGAAGTGAAGGATTTCATGACTGATTTCTGAACCTCCTCTGACAAAAACACATCTTCTATGAATAAAGTAATCGAACGATTTGGATCCTCTTTGAAAGCTGGGAAGGAGGCTCTCTCACTCATTCGTTCCGACATCAAAGTTGAGAATGCTGACCTCACTTCTTCCGTTGTCTCAAAGATTGAAAAGTTGCAAGAATACTTGGCAATTGAAAACAAGATAATGGATGAGTTGTCTAAGAAAAATCAGAAGGCCAAGGTCATTTCTGTGAAACTGAAGAATGTTACTAAGCGTAATGCTGATCTTGAAGACGAGAGAACTATAGTCAAAAGCTGTGTTTTAGAGATCAACCAATATTTGATGAGCGTTGTTGAGATTCATGACTCCTTGTTCACCGTCTCGGTTCGACAAAAATTATCTGACAAGCTTCAACCGGTCTTTGTTATGCTCAATCAGATTCAAGGTGTTTCGAAAAGCGGTGCTTCTCCAGCACAAGGGGGAGACAAGGATCAACAACTAAAGTTTGAAACTGATCAAAGGGATAATGTGGCTTCTGGTTTCGGTAAAGACAAAGACAAAGGCAAAGGTATTTTGGAAGATGACGCTGATGAAAATCAACAAATGACTGAAGAAGAAAGGATTTCCATGGAAAAATGGGACGAAGAGCTAGATGATCTTCAGGCCCTTTGGAAGAAATTATAGGTAGAAGAAGCTGAGGTTAAGAATGCGAAGAGTGTGCTTGAAACTCGTTTGATGATCCTAGTGTCTACTGGCTGGAGCCCTCAATCTCGTTTGACCTAGACAATGATGTGGAAAGTCAATTCAATTTTACCATCACTCCAAGGGCATTTATCTTTCATTGTTTTGAAAAGATTGAGAAGTCTTTGATCTCTGACAATGCAGTAAATCGGATATTCTTTTTGTTTTACTTGAAGTATGCCAAACCACAGTACGAGACTTGGAGCTTGAAGAGAGTAATGGCTGTAAAGGTTGGATTCCCTGTTCAGACCGAAGACTTTTTGAACATAGAGTTCAAGGGATTCAGAGGAGCTAATCACATTGTATATGAGTTCACTTTGGCGGATCTACCATTTATGAACCCATATGACTGGATCTCCTTGTTCTACATCGTTATGAAAGAAGAAAAGAAGTATGAGCCTTTCACTGCGCATTTGAAAAGGATGATCATATGCTACATCCTTGAAATTGCGAAAATGGATGTTGAGATCGCATCCGTTCTGAAAAAGAGGCTCATAATGAAGCCGGAAGAACAACCAAAGGAAATTCAAAAGTTAAAGGTGGGTATTATACAAAAAGAGCATTGGATCATAGTCTATAAAAGAAAGGATGGTGATGTAGTTCAGAACAACATGTTCTTTCTACGAGACAAACATCTTTATTCATCATCCGCCTTGAAGACAATTCTTTCTTTGGCTGAAGCATGCAAAGCAAACTCTGTTGTTGACCTCACATGCTTTTCGAATATGATACGCTGGTAATTTTGTGTCTGATACATGCTTATGAATATAATGCCAAATAATTTTGACCCATAGAAAAGACGCCAATGAAGACTCTCCTTCCGATTTGAAACAAAGGCGGAGATTGTTAGATTTATTATGTGTTGTGTCAAATGTATGCTTTTATAGTTTGTTTATTCTGAAATGGGCCTATCCAGGTTCGGACTTACTGAGTATTCTAGTCTATATATAGTGCATGCATGTAACATATTAGGGTTACGCCATTAAGTCTTTTGTAAGCCCTTACAGAAAAGTTTCGTCTTTGTGAACTCTTCTAGAGTCGTTTCAATCTAATCATTCGGCACACTTTGATCAATATTGGTCTTGTCTTTAATTCACGTCATCAGTATAGAATCTATTGTTCTTTATTGTTCTCACAATATTCAGCTAACCTCGGACCTATAATCGTTAATCTTAAGTAAGCATTAATATATATATATATATATATATATATATATATATATATATATATATATATAGATCTATATGAGATTGATACTCCCACCGGCTGTTGTTAGATGCAACCCCGACATGTATAACTTTATAGTCTTGTGACGTTGATGAAGCATCTTGGCAGGGAAATTTTAAGTCATATAGCTCAATTATAGGAAGTCATTGTAGCATTGCTTACCAACCTTAATTAATTAAACTACCTAGAGGGGAATGCCTTGAAAGTAGTCAAAGTATGAAAAGATAAGAAAAAAGGATAAAAATATATTAAAGAAAAGCTATTGGATAAGGATTAAATTATCTTAGGAAAAATAAGATATAAAGAATATAAACCTTTTAAAAAGACGATAAAAGTATTCTAAAAGTATAAAACCATAAAAACCTGTGAACTCACTAACATTATGCTGACATTTTCAAAACTCATGTATTCTCAGGGAAATGAGTAGCAATGGAAGTAGGGTGTTGAAGGAAGTAATCACATGGATGATGAAAGCTTTTTTTTGTTCTATTTTTGTTTAGTTTATGATTTAGGAAGTGTGTTTGAATATCAAACCATGTAACTATGTTATTAATAATGAATAAAAGAAGTATTAGTGTTATATTTCTGTGTATTGTTCAATATACTATCCTACATATCTAATATCCCTAACGTCGCACAACCCAACGTTTCCGCCACTAGGCTGGGCGTGACAGGTTGGTATTAGAGTTACACGTTATAGCGAACTAGTAATTCCTTAGGAACTACGACTATAACTTAGGGCATATACTCTAATTAGGTTTAGCCCTTAATCCTAATAACTAAAAGTATTAATATTAATTACACTACGGATGGACTACTTAGGGGAGAGTTGTCTAGTTTGAACTGTCGCTTGGGTTGCTAGATTTCATGACGAATATATGATAAAATGGTTATGCCCTCCGACACTTCTTATCTGGCCAATCTTTACTTGATAGTCTTGAATTACAAAACATAGAATTAATGAAATACCTTTAATAAAACAATAATCAGTTAAAGAGTATATATATATATATATATATATATATATATATATATATAAAACAATAATCAGTTAAAGAGTATATATATATATATATATATATATATATATCTTAATACCATAAAGAACATCCATACAAACCATAACTCAAGTATTTAGGTCAAAATCAATATCTAGGGTTAGTACAGTACAATGGAGGTAACATAACTAGACCTAGAATGTGCAACTAAGTTTTATTATGGTCCAATCGACACATGCCTGAACCTGGATACGATAGTTGGCAAAGTAAACATTTTATGATTTATGAATCGATAGCTTAGTTTTATTAGTTGAGAATCCTGATTGGAGGATTAGATCAAGACCTACTACTCGAGGATTCGCCATATAGATTGAGTTTCACTTTTGAGGCTGCATGGATTAATGGTCTAGAGTTTTGTATCCGACATACATATGTAGAGATATTCAAAGGAGACCCGGTACTATCTATTAAATACTACAATTAAATATTATATGTATTCATATGCTACCTCTCATAAACATCTAACATGTTTGATGTCTTATGCAGGTTCACGGGAGCTAGATGGCTGACATGGGTATATGGATGGTACTTCCATTACTAGAAGAAGACCGGGTGGCACCTATCACGCCAGAGCCATATAAACATTACGACCCATGGATGCCAGTGCTACCTTCACCCATATTACTAGATGAGTCATTCGAGGAGGAGGAGTTGGAGGAACCCGAGTAGAAGGAGGAGACATTCGAGGAGGAGGAACCCCTATAATAGGAGGTGTAACACCGTAAATTTTCAAATAAAATTTTCATTTAAAATCGCATAATTCTCATAACACATATCACAAAAATCTCATGTATTTAATTTATGAAAACACAACTCCATAATTGATTGATTAATAATCCAGGATCCTCAAAACATAACTCTTTCTTTGGTGTGTACAATCTAGCCGATGCCCTCCCGCGATCCTGAGAAAAACCTGAAACATATAACACATAACACGGTAAGCACGAAGCTTAGTGAGTTCCCCAAAATACCACATTCAATACATTAGCCACTCGATGCTATAACTCTGTAAGACCCTCCCGTCAATGTGTCTCAGTGGGACCCTCCAGTCCCATTACTCTGATGGACCCTCCGGTCCTAACTCTGTAAACTCTGAGTAACACAACATAAATCACAAAGAAATAATGCAGGATATCACAATACACAGATAAGCACATAAGACATCTCAGTCACATACAAATACCACTCATGGTAAAGTATAGTGAGAAGACTCACCTCGAGGCACGCAAGCAATTATCCCTGTACTCGAATCCCAATCTAGCCACCGCCTAACACATAGGGTAAATATTCTCTAATTAATACTCGATTCTCAACTCTAAGTAAACCAAAGGTTACTCTTTCTCTCTCTAACTCTGGAAGTGGGTAAAAGACCATTTTACCCTTCAATGGTCTCCATTCCTCAGGTTTGACCAACTAGAAGTCAAACTCGAGTCAACAGCCCTTGTTTGACCCGACTCGTCGAGTGCACTCATGCAACTCGTCGAGTTCCCTCTTTTCCTCAGAAGTCTCAAGAAAGTCCAGCTCAGCTCGTCGAGTTGACCCCCAACTCGCCGAGTTATCACATGATCAAACTCATCGGGACAAACCCTAACCGACTCGTTGAGTCAGGCCATGGACTCGGCGAGTCCTTTCAGTCTGTTTTCTCATTTAGACGTTTTAAGGCAGATCTACTACCCTAAACTCTAGATCTAGCCTCCCAAGGCTCGACTGTCACGTAAAGCTTCGATCTTTACGTTCATGCATAACATACTTGCTCCATAATGCCAATACAAGTTCTAACAAGGTTACATGCTCAAGGTCTTGTCTCTAACTCAATAAAGTTCGGGCCTTTGGGCTCACAAAGCCTACTACAACTCAGATCTGAGGTTTCAACCTCAATCATGCTCAAAGACCACAATGACACCAAAAAGAATGGGAGAAACCCTAGAAACTCCCTAAACCAAAATCTTCATAAGGAAATGACCAAGTTAGCATATTTTTACCTCCAACTGAAGCAAAACTCTGAAAAACCTCTAGATCCAAAGCCTCCTCTTGAACCAAGCTTTGATGATCTCCACTTCTCCTTCAACAATGCACTAAAATCCACAAGATTAGCCTCTTTCTCACTCTCTAGCTCAAATGGACGATTAGGGTTTCTCTCAAGGAAGTAGGGTGACCGGTGAGGCGCAAATGGGGCTATAAGTTCCCTTATATAGGCCCCAACCCCAGGAAATTAGGGTTTCTCTGCCCAGCACCTACTCGGCGAGTCGGCTCACTGACTCGTCGAGTCCATTCATTAATCCCACATGGACACTCGACTCTACTCGATGAGTTGGACTCACAACTCGCCGAGTCACTCCATAAATCTCAGATTAATCACACAGTAATATACCTGAATGTCCGGATGTTACAAGAGGAGTCACCTGAGGAAGCAAATGAAGAGGGTCCAAGTGATAGTTCCCCATATCCGGATTCATAACCAATGATGACCCCATAGATAATGCTGAGACAACAATTTAGGTTGAGGATGACACTACCAGGGATAGTGATTTAGAGCCCTTACAACCAATAGAGGCTCTATCATCCACACCATTACCTTCTCAGCAGTCATTCAGACTTCGTATAAACAAGTCCAGATTGAAAGAATTACCCTAGGAAAACCACTCCCATACCCTCCCA